ATTTTTAGCTACTCTATTATCTTATTTCTTGTAATATATTTTCTTATTGCTTCCTACTATATTATTAATAATAAGAGAGAATAACCCAAATTGCTATGGTAAAAATCGCATTTGTTTCTTGAATTATATGTTACTCAAAATGAACGGGATTTTGAACAAATTATTTAAAATGTATCAAGTTCTTGACAATCTTGTTAACAAACCATATTTGCTTTTAAATTGCTCTATGTAATTATGATATCAATAAATAAATAATTGTGACGCAAGTGATGCAATTAATTAGAGGCAGAGATATTAGTAAAACGGTTGAGAAGTTTGAGATTTATTAACAAATTCGATAACCGCACATTTTTTATATAGTCATTAACCCGACATCACATAGGGTTATGATTAGCATTTATTTAGGTGAAGGTATATATTGTTAGCAAATTGTCACCTGCGTGATGCCCGAATTCGTGTAACCAATATTGAAAATTCTTGAAATTAAATAATTTTTTTAAAAAAAAAAAAATTAAAAAAAGCGCTCTTTTTGTTTAAAATATAAGACCTGATGAGCAATTGAGCAAAATTTCTAAAGAAGTTTATATGTAAATTATTGAGGAGATACAGTTAAAAAATTAACATCTTCTTATGAAAACACTGAAAATTTACTAAAATTCAAACCGTATCTCCTCAATAATTTACTTATTAACTTCTTTAAAAATTTTGCATAAATGTTCAGCAGATCCTATATTTTAGACAAAAAGAGCGCTTTTTTTAAAAAATAAAAAATATGTAATAAAATTGATAAAAATATGTCAAAATTTGAAGATTTTACTATGAATCCTCGGTTTTGTTACACAAAAAAATTCACTATTTATTTTTACTATGAGACTACACATCTATTTGATCTACATAGTACATCGAATACCCCACTAATTTATGTATATTAAAATATACGTATAACTTATCCAAGAAAGAAGAACCACACTTTGATGTAACAAAATTTTCAAAAGACGTCGGGTCAATCGATAAGACAGCCACGGATTGAGGATTAGATTCAAAGTAATTCGCAAAAGTATTTAAAATAGCTTTATTACAATCGGAACAACTAATATCAGTAGGTTGAGTATAATTCAAACCAGGAAGGTAATTTAATACTGCAGCAGAATTGTCATCCATGTCACAATATCCCCCGGAGGAATTCTTGAAACACAATGAATTCCTTACCGGGAATTTAAAACAAGAATTGTATTTAAGTAGGAAGTGGTAGGGTCTTTCACAGCAAGTTCTGATTTACATTGAATTTGAAGTTCAGCAGCATCAGCAGAAGTGATGTTATCACTGCATTTCGGTGCAGCACAATAAGTATCATAGATTGGTTTTACAGTTCGCATTGTTGCATTTTGCAATGGATATAACTTGATAAATGAAGCACAACTGTTGAGGTCTGAGCTTGAAGCAAGTTTAATAATTTCTTGTTGACATGCAGAGGAGAGATTTTGTGGTACTGCTGGTTGTTGTGCTGAAACAAAATTGAATGCTACAAGCACGAAAATGAAAAGTAAACTTATTGGTAGGAATTTCATGATTGGGCTTAATTAGATTTTCAAGAAAGGAAACCAAAACCGTTCGATTTTATGAAGGAAGAAAACAGAGTTCATTGAAATAGATATAATATTCAAAATAAATATTTGGGGATTTTATTTGTTTGCGCCTAAAAAAGGTCGGTTAGAGCGGAGCTAATTCAATATATGGGCTAGGTGCTGAGAAAAGGGACGAAATTGACAATTTTATCAAAAGATGTTTTATTACATACAGCCGCACCTCTCTAAGTGCACGCTCTCGGGACCATAGTAAAAAAAAGCAAAATATGCTCTTAGAGGAGGTGTGCATTTAGAGGTGTGCACTTTGAGAGGTTTTCATATACCGTGCACTTAGGGAGTGTGCACCTGGGGTGCGACTGTAAATCAATTTAGAATAAGACTAGAATCAGTTTTTACTTAAGACATAAAAATAGTTGTGTTAATAAAGTTTTGCAATATAGCTCCTCAAAGTTTGCATTTTCTTATTTACTGTATTTCTGAAGATCTTTTTTTTTGTCCTTTTTTCAGCACCTAGCCCATATGATCTATCGTCATGTTGCATAAACCTCCCTAAAAAGGAAATAATAATCTGCTATTTGTTAGGCTAGGGGTGCTATAGGGGCATGATCTTTAGAAAAATCTTAGATTTTGATTATGTTTTTGTGTGTGTAACAAGTCTAAATGTCGCACCCACATATGTGTCGTATTACTCTCGCATATTTAGGCATGTGAAACTATAGGGAGCAATTTAATTTACATAGTTACAAATTTGGTTCCCTATTCCAGAATACTTGTACTTCTGTGGATGATACCATGTAAAGTATATTCCTTTCTAGTAAATTAGTTTAAACAATTCTCCTATTTTTATCTTTCATAACGACTGAGTTTTGGATGAAAAAAGCTAACACTTTTTATAGCGAACTAATATATAAAATTTAAAATTTAAATCCGTTATATCCAGAGTTAATTATTGTGTTTCGTTATATCCAGAGTCGACTGTATATGTCATCTTTATTCTAATCGAAACTTTACAGACAGTGTTTGAGACGCGCAATCACGCGATACTAAAATTTAAGCAAATATTTAAGTTACATAAATAACATAGAGTGATCAAATGATTCTCATATGTGATGTATTGCATTACAGTTAAATAATACACTTAAACAGTGTAATGACCTCTGATGTTGCATTGCCTTACATTTTTTTCCATTATAACATTAAAATGTAACCTATTTAGTATTCTGGTGATCAACAGATAACATATTTGTCTGCCAAGTACTTTTCGTTGGCTGGTTCGTGCATGTGAGTATTTCCAATGTTTATACATGAATTTTAATTAAATTTTGAAATTGCTTCCCCATTGGTATATCGAACACATGGACAAATATTTGGGTTTAACTCTGCATTTGAATATTCTATTTAAATGGATTCAGTTTCCTTCCCTCATAAAATCGGGTTTCCTTTTTCGAAATTTAATTAAACCCAATCATGAAATTCCTATCAATAAGTTCACTCTTCATTTTCGTGCTCGTAACATTCAATTTTGTTTCCGCACAACAATTACCACAAAATATCTCCTCTACATGTCAACAAGAAATTCTTAAACTTGCTGGAAGTTCAGACCTCAACAGTTGCGCTTCATTTACCAAGTTAGCACAATTGCAAAATACAACTAACCCACAACAAGCCTTAGATACTTATTGTGCCGCACCGAAATGTAGTGATAATACCACTTCTGCTGATGCTACTGAACTTAAAACTCAATGTGCAACAGATCTTTCCGTAAATGATCCTAATGTTATAGCCATAAAACAAATTTTTGTTTTCAATTCCCCGATAAAGGATGCCTTGTGTTTCAAGAGCTCTTCTGGAGGATATTGTTACTTGGATCCAAATTCCAATTCGATAATGGGTTACATTAGTGGATTGAATGCTACTACTCCCACTGATATTAATTGTACAGATTGTAATAAAGCCATTTTAAACATTTTTTATAATTACATTAAAGCTAATCCTGCATCTGCAAGTGATTTAACAATTGACCCGACGTCTTTTCAAACTCTTGTAACATCAAAGTGTAATTCTTCTTTCTTAGGTAAGTTTTATATATATACTGTATAATATATAATATATTATTTACATATACTGTATAATATATATATATATATTATTTTACATATATTGTATAATATATATATATAAAATTATTTTTAATTTTCTTTCTTTTCATTATAGATGGAGCTGTTCCAACCCCTACTAGTTCTTCTTCACCTACTGCAAAAAGTGGCAGTATCTCTATGCATGCTACATCTTTTATTGGCTTTACAATGTTTGTAAACACTATCATTATGGCCTCATTTATTATTTTAATTGCTCATGCTATTTAGTAAAATTGTTTGGTCTATTAATGAAGTTATAAGATTATATTGATATCCTAGTTTATAAGGTTTACTTATACATATTGAGTTAATACACGCGTTATATAGTCATATAATGTTGATTAAATTTTCATAATAAAATATTATAACGTATATACATAGATATATTATATACCTTATTCACTTATCGGTTATGTATGTCGTGCTGTGTTGTCGTATTCAGTGTTGGCCGGTAACCTTAAATGATATCTATGATCTTTACGGCCTGCCATAGTCATAACGAAAGTTGAACCTTTTATAATATAGTAAGAACTAGAGATGGGCACTATGCGCATGAATGCATGCGTGCATGCGTATGGTACAAGCAATTTTATGATAATATGCCCATACAAGAATAGTTAAAATAAAATTTTT